GAGTTTAACAAAATTCTTCTCTTCTAAAAAAAAAATAACATAAATAATTTCACCTCCTACAGTAACTAATCAAATTCATTTCTCCATTGTTAAAGATACATGCCTAAACAAATAGGAATCCTGAATATTCAGTCCCAACCATCACATAAACACGCACCCGAATTCAAAAAGGAAAAGTTGCAACTAAAAGCTTGGTGAAAATTGTTAGATTTTTACTGTGGCCTCTTGGCAAAAGTGATCATGAACCATCTTCGGAAGCAGAAATCCACATCCTTTAATATTGCTTTGTTGGCTTAAAAAATGACTCATTTCTAGTCTAGTCTTCTTCTTCTTCTCTTCTTCCTCCTCTTCCAGTTAGTACTTAGCTAGCGCCACCTTGTTGGGAAAAATGTGGATGGTAGTATGGAATCGAAAGACCTATTATAGAATATGAACATAAGCACATGCATAGTACAAAATCAAATGGAAATGGAAAGATGTGAACATGTGTAAACCTTGAGAGGTCAACATGGGATTTGTTGACGTTGGATGGACCAAACTCGAGGTTAGCAGGTGCTGCGGGTATGCATGCCTTTCAACGTCCCCCTACATCAAACAATAACTCAATTATTAGTATCGAACAAATAATGGTATTAAACTAAGTCACATGAATATACTAACCAACAATAGTTTTGAATATGAAAAAGGAGCCTGCATTAAATATGGTTGAGATGCTTAAACGACGGGTGCAACTAATGGCGTGTTACTGCGACTCGACCTTTGCCTCTTTCCCTTTGATGTAGTCTGCACGTAAACATGTCTTACAAATATGATGTAGTGTAATATAGTTTACATTAACAAAAGTAATGACGACCATACCTTTGGTTTCTTTGATGAGGACTCCAACAGACCTTTTTTTCGAGGTTTCTTTGGTGCGCCCTTTTTATTGCTCGACATAGGATCACGTACGCACCCGCTTGCATTTTCTAAGTCACAAACAACATGTGAAATGAAATTACTCTCACTATCTGACTTTATCGCGAGTAGCTCTTGTTTTTGGTTACTTATCCATGCCTTTATCGCCAGGAACCGCACTTCATTATCGACAGCGAGGTTTACAACCTCCGCAAATTTTCGACACATTTCATCGTATCTCAACTGTTCGGGAGTACTAACCAAACCATCGTAATTAACTGCAACGCTTGTGTGTGCTCTGCAAACATCTCGCCTCCATCGCCGTAGTATATACCTCTCAGGCAGTGATGTGACATCATCACGGATCAGTATGACGATAGCATGTCGACACAAAATTCCTCTAAACTCAAACAAGTGACAACTACAAACAATTTCACACGTATCTCTATGGAACGAGACAAAGAACTTTTTTATCTTTCGTCACTTGTCAAACATGACGGCCTCACGTAGTTCGTACGTTATCCCTGCATTACCATCCATAGTAGATATGATGTCACAATAAACCTTCCCATTGAGTTCGACTTGAACTTCCCTGAATTTCGAAATGGTATAACACTTCTGATACTACTTCTCCATTTCAAACGTTGTTGTACACGGTACCATTTGCGAGTATGACTTGAAGTCAGCCTGAAACTCCTTCTCAACTTTTTTCCTGAGTGCTCATTCATATTGCTCGACAAACTATTTTAACGAGGTCTTCGAATGAACATACCCATCGAAGAACGCATTCATACTCTCAATGCGTTGAGTTGTTGACATTCCTACCCAAAATGTGGTCTTTAAATAGCAAGGAACCTATCGACCTCTATTTTCAAACAGTCCCGATAACCAATCATTACTATGCAAGTCATATGTGTCCAGTATCGCTCTCCAACCTTCTTCGAATTCTTCAACAAACTGTGAATCATACACCAAGCCATGTATACTCCAAAAAATTGAAGCCTTATCACTGTGGTATCCAAATTTTTCTAGCAATTTCTTCAGAATATGCCACAAACACTATCGATGTTTTGTATCCGGAAAATCAATCCCAATCGCATTTCGCATGGCCCTATCTTGATCAGTAATGATTTCGTGGGGAGCTTTTCCATACATACATTGAAGCCACGTCCTAAATAGCCACACAAAAGTATCTGTATCCTCATTCGACAACAAACCAAAATAGAGTAGTGTTGATTGTCCGTGATGATTAATGCCAACAAAAGGGGCGTAAGGCATATTGTACTTGTTAATTAAGTAAGTGGTGTCAAATGTGACAACGTCGTCGAATTCTTTGTACGCATCCCGACACCTATTATCTGTCCAAAATACATTTTTCAAACGAGACTCATCGTCCAAATCTATGCTGAAGTAGAATCCCGAGCATTGAGCTTGCATCCTCGAAAAGCAGGACTGTATTGCCGCGGCATCTCCTTCCCCAAGCCTTAATCGTCTCACTTGTTCAACATAATTTCTACAATCATTTTTCCACGCAAGTAATATTTTCATATCTACCTACTTCAACAACTACGGAGTCGTAGCTTTTATGTAATGTAATTCTTGCCATATCATTTACTTCAAGCTTCTGTTTCACATGTGAACTCAACTCCCGATTACAGCGATACAACCTCGACTTTGAAGGACTTGTTTTATGATTGTGGTTGAGGTGGACTTTGTTAATTCTCCAGATCCCATGATAATATGAACATGCAGTGATCCCGATTTTACAATTTGTTTGAATTGGTGGTTGAGGCTTCAAAGAACCGCTTGTACTAGTTGTTCTTCGGCCTTCACGACTACATGTGAGGGTGACATATTTCATTTTCCCATCATCCCCTCTTTCGAATTCCTTCTCTTAACTGGAAACCCAACATAATATGCATATCCTTTATAAAAGCCCCACAATTCTTTTTCTTCATTGAAGGTCATTCCCACCTTCGGCACCATCGGATCATTTTCTCCTAACGTTTGCTCTTTCAATGATATTATATTGTCCGTAACATTCTTATCAGCAGTGTCTTTCATATTTGCTCCTATTGTAACACAATGAGTGACAATGTTCAGTACATCTCATCCTTCAGTTATAGCCAATTTATAGAAACAGACAATTCTCAGATTCAAAATTTTATTTGGGCATTTTTACACCTTCTATTGTATTTATGAAGGGACAATCGCGGAATCAAATTCTTAGCCGTTTCACAATCAAAGATATCAATGCAGGGGTAATAAAAATCGAGGCATAAGTGTATGAAATATATGCCCAATGGTCATGCTTATTTGTAAAAATCAAGAAGTCATTTGCCTGTTAACAGTCTTAACCTTAGAAGAACAACTATAAAAATGACACTATCATCTTCAAGAAACATCAAGATATTGACACTATAAAAAGGACACTACCATCTCAAACAACCAACATTTACGAGTGTTTCGATTTGGCACTGTGCATTTTCAACAAATTTCTAAGAAAATGAAATCCATCTGAAACATAATGACATTACCTGAGCTTGACTCCACTAGGTTTTCCGGTGTCGGGGAATTGCAGATTCGGCCACTATCGGAGTTGGGCATCACCATCTTCACAGTTGGGGAGCAATGATTTCGATTTGGAGGGAAGGCTTTGCGAAGGACAATGATGGGTTGGGGGAAAGACTTGCAAAGGGCAATGACGAGTCAAGAGATTTCACCTTCACCGGATGTGAAATTCACGACCACAGTGAGAGTGAAATCGGCGGGGAAAAGAAGGCGGGACTTTTCCTTTTTGTCTTCAATGCCTTTGCCGGCTTCAATTCTACTGGGTAATAGATTTTCATTTGGCTTATTAGATTTTCAAAGTCAAACTGACCAGCTGCTCCATCACGTGAATAGCACATGGTTTCTAAAAATTTCAAATTTCTGTGCATTTTTCTGTGAACCAATTATGTACAAGAGGGATTTTTCCATCACATATCATATCACCATCAGTCATAAATATGTACATATTTATAGATAACAAAATGGTTATATATATTACTAGGTGGCAAAGGGTCACCAAATGTACGTGCTAATGATTATGATTTATTGAGCTCAGAATGGTACAATGATGTATTTTGTAAGAAAGGAGTCCTACATTTGATATCCATTGGACTGGTTGCATTAATAAATATCCATGAATCATGAGCACCATATTCCACACACTAGATATGTATTATACTCATTCCATGTTTTATTATTTTTTAGAGCATAATGGTTCGTCAAACACTAGAGTGCAACGGCGACAATGAGGCCTATCTTGTGATAATTCGGAGATTCATTATAGTGGGCACTGCTGTTTTTATCTTAAATATAAATATTGTATGAAGAGGAGTTTACTTTCACGAGCAATGCTACGTGTGCAAGGAAAAATTTATAGGGACTTTTATAGAATATCACATGGCAATATTTCATTAGATTTTAGGCCAAAAAAATATAAATAAAACAGTCAATCAAATACTGCTATTTCAACACTTGTAAAACGCTATGTACATTTTCCCTATACACGTATCATTTCTATACTTTCACTACCGTGCGATGTGAATTCAAATTATGTGGATGAAAGATGTGCCCATCCGTAAGCTTGGATTATCGTTAGAATAAGAGGGTCTACCTTAGTTTAGGAAATGACTTATAATAACTCAAAAGACAAATATCATGGCTGCGAGGTGAATGAACAATCTGTCTCGTTTTTTGGTGTGCATCTTTCCTTATAAGATTGAAATGAGGTCCTTGCTTGACTCAAATATAAGATTTCTTACAACTTGCATTAGTAACATCATAAACAATCTAAGATTTATTAAAATGCAGCCCCTACCCTCGTTCCCTTCCTAGCTTCCAACCTACTAATGGTCGAATGCCCTCAAACTCTCGTTATAGAGCTTTCTAATAGTCTTGTAGCTGGTTGACCAGACACTCAGTGGATGATCTTGGTCCATCGACACCAAATTGCTATAAAAGTAACTTTAGCTGAGAATTAACTTAATGACAATGAATACATCAGGGACCCCAGATGTAAATTTCTCTTTAATTTATTTTTTATTTTATTTTCCACGTTCATACGTTACAATTACGTTCTCCTCGATTCTCCCTCCCTTGGACACTCCGAGACACTCGTAAACACACTTGCGTATACAGTAAAGCGTATGGTCTGTTTATTGTGTAATACGATTTTCGTAATCAAAGTATAAAGTAAAAACCAGCATTTCAATCTTCTCGATCATAGTATCGTACACAATCTTCTTGATGTTCTTCTGCAGTTTCTAATTGTACATTCACAAATTCAAATAATTTTAAAGAAATGAGTGTGGTGGAAATGGCGACGGAGTGCCTGGTGCCGTCGTGGTGGGAGGTGCATGTCTCGGTGGCAGCCGCGGCCTTCGTGGTGGCGGCATACTGGTTCTTCACTCTCGCTGGCGATGGCGATCGGATAAGAGTAGAAAGTTCGTGTGGCAAGTCGGATGTAATTGATGACAAAGACAAGGTCGCCTAATTTTCCGCCATTTTGATGTAATTAACTTTGATGTTGATTTTTGTTATAATAACAATTTCGTAATTAAATAAGTCCGTCTGGTTCTCTAAATACTTCTGTTTCCTTTTCTTGTTTGGGAATTTACTTCCGCGGTACATTTTTTTGTACATATTGATGATAAAGATCAGACCAGTTCTCTAATTTCACCCCTAGTTATTATTCATTAAAAGTGACTAATTTTTTATGTCGATTCTTTGTTTTTAATCTTTTTTCGATAATTAGAGTGAGAGGAGTAAATGCCCTTCGTTTTGGATTGAGATCATGATGTTTAATTTCTGTCTTCTTCCCCTTCATAATTTTGTGCTAAAAGAATTCAGTTTTCTTGAACTGTTTATGTGAATTTGGTTTGCCTCTTTTTGTAATTAGTGATATATTAGTAAATCTTAGTGATTTTGCCCCTATTTTGCAGTGTTAATTTGAAGATTACGCCACCAAATGAGGCTAAATTCACATATTTTTTTAATGTTTTAGTATTTGATACTACATTAATTTCTGCTGGCTGGTCGGATTCTGTGGGCAATCCAACTCCACCCTACTATTCGCATTTTTTGTATGTCTTCGTGCTTGTGTGAAATATTTTTTGAAAACCGATTTTGTTGGAGAACGTGTGGTTAAAAAGTAGGAAAAGATTTTAGGAAGAAAAATGAATTTTTTGAGGATGTGTGGTCGAAAATTAGTGTAGTGGATAAGTGATTTTAAAATAATCAAAATCAAACAAGGCCTTAGTGTGGTGATGATGCTGTAATATATTTGACTGCTAAATAAATTAATTTACAGCCGGCTCTTTTATTTTTCTTTTTTAATTGCATGATAAGTGGCAAACCATGAACTTATTGAAAATTTTACCTAATCATATCTGAAAAGACTATCGAGTATTGACCATCTATCCTCATGAACTTATTGTACGCAAGCTAAATTATATAGTAGCAATTTTCCTTTTTTTTTTCTTTTTTTTTTTGAGCAGTTGTTCATTTATCTGTACTACAACATAAGTAACAGAAAAAACTGGTTTCAAACACTGAATATTGAAAAGCTACTCATTTGCATCCAATATTTGTTGAAGCTATAACACATGTAAAGAGCATGGGATCATAAATGGAAATAACTTGGTTCTCAATCTCACATAACTTGTTTGGCTGATGAGAACTCTTTTCCTCACAGAACGCAACTTGTGTGCTCAAAGACTTGTTTCAATTGCCAGTTTTATCTTCTAATGATTTCTTTATATTTGTACCTACGCTTTGACGTTGTCATAAAACTTTAACTGAAGCAATTCGCGATAACGTGCTTGTAGATATAATAGCCTCATACGAACTCTTGATATTTGGGAGTTCTTATTTGTTGTGATGGTAATGCATATGCTTCATCATCCAGTTAATATCGTACGTGCTATAATTTTCAACTTTTTATTTATTTATTTCCTTTTTTAGACTGATTTCCCACTTGATTAACATGCAGTTTGCACTTATTTTGCAGATGAGCCAGTTTAGAGGAGACCATCTAACTTTTTCTGCATATATGATTAAGGTAATCTTTTATTTTTTGTACTGGCAACTGCATTCTAATTTTGTTGTGCAATGTATGATGCTTGATCTGTCCTTATATGAAATTCTGATGTTGCAACAACCAATGTCCATTGAACACTGTTGTTTATAAGCATTCCCACGTTTCAGGTGGAACTGTTAGCAGCTAAGAATCTAATTGGTGCAAGCTTGAAGCCTCATACGAACTCTTGATATTTGGGAGTTCTTATTTGTTGTGATGGTAATGCATATGCTTCATCATCCAGTTAATATCGTACGTGCTATAATTTTCAACTTTTTATTTATTTATTTCCTTTTTTAGACTGATTTCCCACTTGATTAACATGCAGTTTGCACTTATTTTGCAGATGAGCCAGTTTAGAGGAGACCATCTAACTTTTTCTGCATATATGATTAAGGTAATCTTTTATTTTTTGTACTGGCAACTGCATTCTAATTTTGTTGTGCAATGTATGATGCTTGATCTGTCCTTATATGAAATTCTGATGTTGCAACAACCAATGTCCATTGAACACTGTTGTTTATAAGCATTCCCACGTTTCAGGTGGAACTGTTAGCAGCTAAGAATCTAATTGGTGCAAGCTTGAATGGCACATCAGATCCTTATGCAATTGTCACTTGTGGTGGGGAGAAGCGCTTCAGGTGATTACATCTGATTGGCTTCTTTCTTTTCAATAAAACTGAATTTTAGTCAGCTTTAATAATTTTATATAATATCGAAGTTCCTTTTTTTTCCTTTTTTTTTGGTATGTGCTGCTATTTTTATTTTAGTTCTAACACATTATACTTATTATTGGTGATGCAAACTTCACTAATTTATATATTTTAATTTCATTTTGTTTATACGCAACCTTTGGTAGAAGAATTTAGTTAGATGGCTTGTGGATGCATATCTTTCTATCTTATTTTATTTTTGTAGCTTCTGTTGAGTCTCTAGTTCTTTCAAAGTTTGTTGACCAATTAAATTCTTAATTCCTCGGAGATGTTGCGAGAGGCAATACACGAGTAGCACAGAGATGTCAAACAGAGAGCTCCTCGAGGGACTTTTGATCTAAGAATTATGGGATCTATTTAGCTTGATGATCATTTAAAAGGAATGAGAATATGATTCGAGGGAGCGTTGGGTTCTAGGCATGTATCACTTTTTTGGCCTTGATTAGTGGCAAGGATACTGTGGTTCAATTCGGTGCTAGTAGATCAATCTTAATGTAAAAACTGATAATAGAGCCCTCACGATTAGAGTTAGTATTGATCAGAGTATGTTAGAGGGCAAAGATTTGGACAATATAAGTTAGTGTAGTGAGTCTAAGATTTCAGAGTTGGTTCCTCGAGTGCCATAGTTGGTTGAGAACTACATCCAGTGCGAACATAGTCAAGATTAGCCTAATTTCTCGAGAATCATGCATTGACAAGGGCGTCAATGCCCTAGAGTGGTGAAGCGTATCACAGATTGGAATGCTCTTTCACCACTTCTCATCCTTTATTTTAGTGGCGAACTTTGGCACCTTAGGCCATTATAGGAGACGATGAAGGGAGATTTAAGATCATAAAGAATTAACTTGCCAAGTGGACAGGAATTGGTCAGAGTACTTGCTGTACTCTTTGGTACAACAGGCAAAAAAAATGTGGCTCAAATCTCACTGCTAGAACTTAGAAAAATTGAGTATGTGTTCAAACATTTGATAAAAGTAATCTCAGTTTGCATGTGTGAGGGGCATTTACATAACTAAATTCTCTCCCTTTTTAGGTTAAGCTTTTAGATGAGCTATTCAACAATAACTCTTGATGTTTGATGCGTAGAAGTAAACAAACTTATGCTCTCTGTAATTCGGTCTATGTGGATATTAAATCTTTGGTTTCCTTTAATTTGGTATTTTTTTTATTTTTTATTTTTCATTGTTTCTGTTGTTTTTATTTATGTTAACTAGAAATGAGGGTATAATGGGCTTCTCAACTAAAAGATGGACTATTAAACAATCAAATTGATGGATTGTGCCATTGAGACAAATTATGCTACAGAGCTAGAAGGTTGGAGAGACTGCTGTCAATAAAAATAGGTTTGGGCCAGTAGCAACGAGCTCCACTGGTTGAGGAATAACTGTGTAATTCTTCCTTCTATTGATACTTAAAATTTCAAACAGAAGCACGAAGTTCTAAAATAAGGAATTGAAAATTTTCCTAACTCAAAACTAGTAACGGTAAAACTAAATCATGATCTACTCTACGTTATTGCACCTAGAATAGTTGTTTATTATTTTGGGGGTTTTCGGGGGACCTCCACCAAAACTTGCTCTCTTTCCTCTTCTAGGAACGTGAGAGCAAGTTTTGAAAGCAAGGGATGTGGAGTTACTACCACCATTACAAGCATGTAAAATTTTTTTAGTATAATCTCGTATTTCTGACTAAAATACAAATATATGGAACCTTTTCTTTTTCCAAGTTGAGTGTAGCTTGAAGCCTTGGGGAGATCTTATTGGGTTGAATTTCTTAGGAACTTTGAGTCACATGACCTTCTTCGGCAAGCCAATCTGCCGTTTGTATTCCTTCACAATAGTGAGATCTTTTTCCAAATAGTATCACATTGTCTCGAATTTGATCTAATACACTTTGAACATTCCACGACCCCTTCCTTTTAAAAAGTACAATTGACAGACAAGCTTGAGAATGATTCAATCCGTACATAGTTATAGCCCATTCAGTTACAAAGTTCAATTCCTCCAAGTATTGCACACAATCAGCTTCATATTTCTTGTTAAAACCATAAAAGTCATTAAAGTCTACAATTCATCATTGTGTTTCTCTTACAATTCATCATTGTGTTTCTCTTACTAATAGGAAAACTTGATAAATTGATCTAAATAAATCATTTGTATAATACCGTCTGCATTTCAACAAGTTTACTGCATTTTCCCTAATGCCTGTTGTAGTTGCATTTTTTATTGCTTCGAATTTGAACACAGTTCTAGACATTTTACTCATTTTCTTGTATGCATAATTTTTCTTATTGATGTTTAATACCATATTTCTTAGTGATACAATTGCATGCATTTTTAAGATATAAACGGTGATTGCTGCAGTTCAATGGTTCCAGGGTCAAGAAATCCTATGTGGGGAGAGGAGTTCAATTTTTCTGTTGATGAGCTTCCTGTAGAGGTGGTTATGTTTCAATACTTTTGTGATTGTAAATGTGAAATATAACCCACTATATGTAAACTATGATGCTCGGTTTGCAGGCATTTTCTAATAAAATTTTACTTGTCGAAAGAAAAAGAACTTTTACTTTTCTTTTCTTTTTAGCCTAATTGACAACTTTTTTTTTAACATTTTTTTCATTGTCTTTCACAAATCAATGCTGGTTTATCATATCCATCTAATCTATATCAATCTGTGTATTTTCAAGCTATCACATATATATATTTAGAAATGTAATTTGAATTTCTGGGAAAAACTTTATCAGGCTCATTCCTTTGGAATGCTTCTTCAAGCATAATGATATTCTAATTAAGAAAATTGTTTTTAAAACCGTGCACGGCTTATGCCACGCGAGGCCTTCATTTAGAGCTAGGTTATACTTTTACTAAAAATTTCATTACATACCTCAAGGTGTTTGAGTTGTCTGCTTCTTGGTCTTGCCCTTTCTAAATCTTTTGTTACCTGCCTCAGCCTTTTAGGCTAGTTTCTTCACAGCATAGAACGTTTGAAGAGTTTTGGGTTGTTTTAAATATAACCCCTACACCCACCCACCCAGGGCAAAAAAGGGAGAATTGGATATTGCTTCAGCTTTTTGACGACAGATGTTCAGTGATAGTAGACTTGTGACACATAACATCACTCCTCTTTCTTTATATATTTTTCTTTCGTTGTCCCATGTTTTTATTATATTGACTGTTTATTTATTTATTACTATTATTTTGTGTGTGTGTGTGTGTGTGTTTAAAATTCGAAACAGACACATTTCTTAAATAGACAAGTTTCATTTCTTTTAACTGCCGGTGGTGTCTCATGGAGCAGTGGTCTTGTTCTACAATTACTGCTTTTTTAGTTAAATATTTGCTACTTTGTTTTATATATTTAGCTTGAAAATTAGGCTTTTAGTTTTGTTGGAATGTTGTTTTGTAAATTTATTAAATGGTTTATGGTTTGTTACAACTATATTTTTATAATTTTGTAATTTTTTGAATTATTGTAATGCTAAGGTTTACGCATTAAAGCACCTTGAGGCTTATACCTCACCTTGCGCAGGCAAACTTTTCAGTGCCCAATTTAGTCTTTTTAAAATTTTGACTTGCGTCTGAGTCCTAAACATTTTAATATCTACCTTGTGTTTATTATTAAAAAATGAGATTGTGTACAGGCCTCTTGTAACCTTGTGCATGAGCATCTATGGCCTTTAGCTATCAATAATATTATATCTTATGTTTCTGCTGTAAACATGTAAGTACTCAAGCGTGTTCTTCTACTTCTGGTTTCTTAATACAAGTCATTTACCCAATTGTATAAACAGATAAATGTGGCAATATATGATTGGGATATAATTTGGAAAAGTGCAGTTCTTGGTTCAATAACTATTCCCATCGAAAATGAAGGTCAAAATGCTACTGCATGGTATACTTTGGACAGCCCATCTGGGCAGGTAATATATTGCTCAAATTTTGTTCTTTTGAATATTTATTACACTTTCATTATAATTATTTTTCAGGTAACTTGAAACATGTTATTTATAATATTTGTCAGGTCTGTCTCCACATTGAAACGCTAAAACTCCATGTGAATTCCAGGTCCCTCTTCGTGATACATTTTTTCTTTTTCTTTTCTATTTCTATTCTTAATTTTAATGTTCACTTTCTCCTATCTCATTTCTTTTTGCATAAATATGAAATGATATTTTTTTAGCTTAGGCCTACATATATTTAGTAAAGTTAATCATATAGGAGGTCTCTGACGAATGTTCTCGTTCCTTCTATTTTTTTATTTTTTTTGGGTTGGGGGGGGGGGGGGGGGGGTTTTGCC